CATTGTTCCTCTACAATCAAACTTGAGTTGTCATGCCCTCAGCCCCGTAATTATCCATTATCTAAAATGTCAGCCAAGGTGAGAATGATGCCAAAAGTGTCATGGTTTTTTTCTTTCTTTTTTGTAATTTTAAGACACAGTGACTGAAAGATTAGTTTAGTATATTGGTATTTGCAAAATGAAGCTAGAAAAATACAAGGGCTGTGTGTATGTCTTTCCAACACTATGAAGACCCATTTCTAGCCTAGGTAGGTCACAAGATATTGGAACTTAAATGGGTCTCTGGCCTATGTGTGTACCAACATTGGCCTCAGGTAAGTATACATTTGGAGAAGGTATTCCACGTTTTTTGGAGAAGTGAAGGAAATTTACTGCTGGCAAGTTTATTTTAACAAAAAAAAAGTCTGTTTTAAAACTGCTTGGGGCCTGGTTATTCCTGGTGAAGAAGAATTAGTAGACAAAGTATAGATGAGGTGGTCAGTTTTAGAATAAGTGCAACTTATCACATGAATATCACCACCCAGCAACTCACTCTTTTACAATTTTTCATTAGTTTTCCTATGATTAACTTTTCCATTTTCTCTGCCTGTCATCCCTTCCATTCTCATACTCTGTCCCTCAGTTTATCTTTTACTCCCTCCCTCTGCATCTCAGCATCTCTCTGTGTCTGTCACTCACCTCAGGTTAGGGAATAGAAATGGGATTGTTAGAGACACAAGGTGGGTGAAGTATTATCTTTTACTGGATTATATTCTGTTGGTGAGATAGACAAGCTTTCAAGTTTCCAGAGAGCTCTTTTTCAGGTCTGGGAAGTGTACTCAGAGTGTCATAGCCAAATTCAAGGCAGAACGGATTGTTTAACAAAAGTAGTTAACACATTTTTCAAGGGACCATTCAACGTGAAAGGGCCTGTGAACATCCCTCCAGTCATAGGGAGGAAAGAAAGGTGGGTGGGAAGGCATTTTGGGGGATTGGAATGGGATTGTCAGTTTAATATAAATTTGGGATTCTCTCCATTCCCCTCTGTGTCACATCCCTTTTCTTTTTTCTCTCTCTTTCCATCTTTCCCAGGTATTTGCTTTTAGGTTTCCCAGTCTCCCCACTTACCTCTTCAATTCACTTTTCCTCCACCCCTTGTAAAGAGCTGCAGTGAAGAAAATTCCATGGGAAGCAAAAGAAACATAATACGACATGGGAGGGCCAGAGGGGGAGAGAGAAGTGACCAGAAAGGGGAAGGTTTCTGGCTGAACAGTTGAATACACAGCACTTTTTTCTACCCATGGAAGCTTCCAAGATATTGGACCTTAAAATATCTTGTTATGCATCGTATATTAGGCATTTTCACCTAATGTTTTAATATAATTTTCCTTATCCTGAGCATGTGGTGTAGTATTAAATAATTTGCCGTTATGGGTGAAGATTAATTTAAAATTGTACCAATACTTTTGTTTTAAACTAAAACATTCATTTCCCCCTCTGTGAAATATTTGACAAATACAGACTATGACTATATGATATGACTTTATTGGCACGCTTTTGAGATTATCTGTTTAACACACTCATGGCTTTGCCAGTCATGACTAATGCAGCCATCCCAAACACATGCCAATAAAAGCTTTATACCAAACAATCATGTATACTGTTTATACTATGTATTATACAGAATATTTTTTTACACATTTGGGAAGGGTTCCCAAACAACCCGAAACCACCTTGCCTTCACCCATCAACCAATAACCTCTCTGCATTCCTGGAGTTCAGTACATTCGCTCATCAGGAGGTTTGACATATGAAAGGAGTCTCTACCCAAGACAGGAGAATCCGAACCATGGCGTCCCTGGCTTGTGAAAGAAAGCCATGAGCAAGTGGTGCCACTCCTGTCCAGTGTTGTGAACACCTCATTCAGAGAAGGAATCACCCCTTTCTCCTTCAGCACACAATAATCTGACCAACACAGAAAAAACCCACCCTGTATACAACAACCAACTGCTGTCCAGAGTCGAACTTTCTGTCCCTGGCCAAGCTCAGAGAATCTACTCAAAGGACAACATCAAGCTCATCTAATTGGAGCTAATATAGTAGGCCCACCTAAATCTGGACAAAGATTGTCAGTGCAGGAGATGGAACTTTCACAGTGGGCCAGCTCAATAATTCTCACTTAGGGAGAGGATGGGAAAACAAACACATGACAGATGTTAGTCACAGTGCTTAATTAAACTACTAGAAAGTACTCAGATCCTGTGTTGATAAGAACCTTAATAGAGTAGTGTACTTTGTGTAATTGGAAATATTTTTTCATATCCCTTCACCTTGCTTACCACATGCTTAATTGTACAGAATTTGAAAGGCGACATAATCTAAAAATTATTGAAAATAGCAATTTTATATACAGAAAAGCTGTGATTGGCCTTGGATTGAATCTTATCCATCCTGGACTTCTAGGAGTTGTTTGTTTTCTGTGGGGAGGGGAGAATGGAGATGCAGATTTCTTCTAATGGGCTTATTTTATTTTCTTCTTTCTCTCTGTCTCTCTTTTTAAAAATAGTGACTATTTGAAGCTGCTAATAGTTTTGAAATGTAGAATAAATTCTGTTAGAGTTGGATTAGTGGGGAGAGGGCAAGTGAGGCTATCAGAAATGAATGATGCCCTATTCATTCTATTGATGTGCAGGTTATTATATGGACATCACTGCCACGTGTGTGTATAAACATTATACATGTATTGTTTAGCCATGTATTGTTTATATACATACATATAGTAAAAGCTTTTTTATCTGGCATGTTGGGAGAAATGGGGGGGGGGGGTGCCAGTAAGTGAAATATGTTGGTTAACTAAGAGGAAAGGAGTTTGGGTAAGGGGATGAGAACTGCAGCCAATGGGTGCTGTGGGAACAGTGCTCGGGGTAGGGGCAGCGCACAGAGCCACCTGCCACAGGTCTGCCTAGGAGTAGCCGGGACAGGTCGCTGCTTGCAGGGAGCCACCCGAGGTGAGCGCCCCTTGGATCCACCACCCCAAATCTTGTCCCGTGCCCCAACCCACTGCCCCGAGCCCCCTCCCGCACCCAAACTCCCTCCAAGAGCCCATGCCCCACACCCCGTCCTGCGCCCCTCGTCACCCCCCACTCCGAACCCCTTGTGGCCATTCCTTTGCCTAGGAGCAGCAGGGACATGTCGCCGCTTTCAAGGAACCACGCAGAGCCAGGTAGGAAGCCTGCTGGCCCTGTGCCAACCGGACTATAAACCAGACTTTCTATGAATATTAGACATGCCGGTTTATAGAGCTTTCCAGTTGGCACAGGGCCGGGTAACACAGATTTTACTGTATATACACTCACATACATACTATTAATGTTAATACCCCATAATATTGCTGAATGAGTTTTGCTGAATTGTCCAGATTTTGTGACAGTGAATACATGACTTATCAGAAAAGTGTGTATAGATAACTCATTTTTTCCTCCTCTGTTCATTAGTGCAGATAATAAACAATTCCCCCGTGTTTCATTTATTATTTTGGAGTACGTTTCTTAATACTCTGTGGGCCAAATTTTCTTCTGGAGTGAATGGGAAAAATCTCCATTGAAACTGAGGATATTGGAACCATTTATGCTAGAAAATTTGGCTCCATGTTTTTTTGAAAGTCTTTCTTGATAGAAGGTCCTAACTAAAGCACCAAGGTCCCGTGTGAAGTCTGTTGGTTAAGTGCATTTTTTGAATACATTCCCTTCAAAAGTTCATTTTATTAATCTAATTTTATTAAATCTGCTAGCTTTTCTCTGATCTGCGTTTAACCTTGGTGACTAACATCCTACAATTTGCTTGTATAGCTTCTTAGGATAATTTAGTAGGGACTATATGAATGCGTATCAAATTGCAGTATTGTAATCAAAAACTTAATTAGTCTCGGATTTAGCTATTTGAACAGGTAGGACTTTCCTCAATCAATTTTGTGCAGCAATTTAGAAAACGTAAATATTATTTTTATTACTTAATTTGAATCTATTAAGCACTGTAGCTTTGTTTTGCATCTTTGTTGGTTGGGAAGTCTTGGGCAAACCACATCATTCTGTCTTTATTAGTTGTTGAGTAAATCATGATAGGTCTATCAGTTAAAATGGAACTGTAGTTTAATATTGTCACAATAACACATTGTGTCATGTTACTTTTCCCTGAGTCTATAAAAGTGAAGAAACTAAAAAGTACTTGCCTTGTAATTCTTCTTTGAGGATATCAGACAACTACTCTGGCCTTTTGTTCATGCTTATCCCCACTACAGAGGATATGTTGGAGCTCTGCCACCCTGATTTTCCACTGAGGTGAGGTCCTTCAGGGATTTTACACCACCAGTATAAGTTAGAGCAGCCTTCCAGGCTTCTCTAATTCATGCTAATCAATTATGCAGAATGAGGGAACTGTATCCAGCTCATTGATGGCTGAAGTACCCCCCTCCCTTCTTACTCGTGTAGCTAAGACAAGGGGAATTGAATCTAGTAGCTTTGGAAAAAATCAGCATTTGATTCAAGAATAATTATCTGCTGTTATCTTGGTAAACACGCTTTGATTTTTCTGATGAGCAAAAATATTTCACACTTAGGGTTTGTCTACACTGCCATGTGAGGTGTGACTTCAGCATGTGTAGACAAACCATGGCTTGCTCAAATAACAATAGCAGTGAAGCCACGACAGCAAGGGCTAGCCGCAAAAGTAAGTACACAGGGTCCCTGGCAATCTTCCTCAGCCTGTGGGGCTGCCCATGCTGCTGTGGCTTTGCTGCTATTGTTATTCAAATTAGCTAGATCAAAGGTAGCTCAGGTATGTCTACATATGCTGTAATTACACCTCTGGTTGCAGTGGAGACAACCTTAATAAAAATTCCTTTCAAGAATGACTGAGGACAAATGAATCCTTATTATATTCAGTAAAACGACTTCATTATGATACAGCCTGAAGTACTGTAAATAGGACATGAATATTAAAATACATGTTAATTTGCCTTTCAGGAGTTGAAAAGCTGATCCGCCATCTACACCAACACAATGTACCTATAGCTATTGCCACTAGCTCAGCCGGAGTGACATTTCAGATGAAAACAAGCAAACACAAAGACTTCTTTAGTCTATTTCATCATATTGTGTTGGGAGATGACCCAGACGTGAAGAACAGCAAACCACAGCCTGATGCGTTTTTAGTTTGTGCAAAGAGATTTCATCCTCCTCCTCCTCCAGAAAAGGTAGGGATGGAATTAGCTGAAAAGTCAGCAATAAACAATTCAGAATACATTTTGATTTTTTAAAATTTGTTGTTTAATATGACAAGTTTTGAGATTGAGATTTAATAGCAAATTAAAAATACTCATGGGGGAATTCTGCACCGCTGCACAATACAGAAATTTGCAGAAATTAATGTGCACGCAGAATTTCCTTTCCCCCACAGAAATGGGCTGCAGTGCTGCTGGCTGCCAGTGGGGGCCGCTGGACCTGGCAGAGCCTAGCTCGCACATAGAAGACACTGCCAGGGAGGAGAGGGAGGGATCTAGAGGGTTCCCAGCAGCTGCAGTTCTCCACACACCCTGAGGGAACGAGAGAGCAGTGTGCAGGAAACTCCACACAAGCCTGGAACATAGCATCAGGCTGTTTCTCCCTCTGGATCCCTGGACTCTGAGGGATATGGGGGCGGGTGTCTGGGCTGGGGGAGACACAAGTGGGTGCTGGGGAGGGTGGTCTAGGGGGGCCCCATGGCTGGGCTCCAGGGGATGTATGTGCAGCTATCTGGGCAGCAGGGCCCCTGCAGCTGAGCTCTGGTGGGGTGGGGGCAGGGAGGCAGTTTGCGAGTATCTTTGCTAGGAGGGGCTCTGTGGCTGGGCTCTGGGGGCAGGAGGAGTGCAGGTGTCTGGCCCCCTGGCTGGACTCTGGGAGGAGGAAGAGAAACAGAAACTGGGTTGTCATAGGAGTTTCTTTAACTCTCTTCTAGGGGAATTTTTTGTGTGTGTCTGTATTGTTACAGACATACTTGCTGATAGGTATTTTGGAAAAAAAAAATTACCAAAATAATTGAAACTGGCGTCATCATGTAGTGTTATTTTGACAAATAACATTTGCAGAATTTTAAAATATTGTGTACAGAATTTTTATTTTTTTGGCGCAGAATTCCCCCGGGAGTTAAAAAAACAACCACACAGCATTCTCTGTCCCTGAAGAAATGTATACTGTAGAAGCAGAAAATTATTTGAAAGTGTCCTGTTCGTTCAGTATACAATGTTTTATAATGCAAATTACATTTGATTTACTGCATGGTACTGTGAAGTAACAGGAAACTTCAATGATTTCCACTACATGTATAAATATGAAAGCTGAGCTTTTGTGCTCAAAGTTTAGAAACATTATTTAAACATAGGACAGTTTTCTTTTCAAACATTTGTGGCTTATTTACCTCTTAAATGTCTAAACATTAAAGATACATTTTTGTAAAGAGGATATAGATTTCCTTCATGCCATCTCTTCATCCTGCTTGCTGAATCTATGAGGTCATAATTCTTGGTTTATGATTTCAAAACCTAGCACTGAGAAATATCATTTGAAAAAGAAAAGGTGTTTTCTTTCTCTTATACAGATTTGCTAAATTTCCAATTCAGAAACCTGTGAGGGTATATCTGAAAGAGAAATGGATACCTATTTAAGTAATATTGTCATTTCTATTTTAAATTAACACAATTTCTCTTTAAAATCATGCCTTTGTTCTTTTTTTCTGTTCTGCGTGAAATATGAAGCCTATAAAGAAGTTTTGAGATCCTAATTATTGCTGAGAAAATTGTTTCATAATTGTGATTTTTTTTTTAATCCAAACTCTGGTGTAGATGCTGGTGTATTGCTGGTCCACGGAGAACAATGTATATGTAGGCGTATTTGCAGCAGTTAGCTAATGTATTTCAACCTTTCCCTGAATGGTCTCTCCATTTCATTGAAGCCCCTTATTTACATGGGCAGGAGTAGATAAATAAGTGAATAACTGTGTGTGTGTGAGTGTGTGTTTGTGTTTGTGTTAAAATCAATCTCATGTGTCTTTTGTACATGTGGGAGAATGTGAATACCAGACCTACATTTCTCTCTTTTTGATAAACAACTGACAAGGAGTCCCCAGCCTGTCCCCAAATATCTTGTTCATGCAAGTAGCTCTTGTGTGAGTAGTACACATTGGACAATCGTTGCATGCATAAGGACTAATTGTATGACTAAGTGTGTGCAGGAGCTGGTCTAAGCTTTGAACAATCTCAATAGTGATGTCACACAAGGCTGAAACCTCAATTTAGAGCAAGAAGTGAGGCGCTGATAGTCCTGATATTTAATTTTTAAAGGTTCTTTATTAGAAAGAAAAAAGACTATTGTTTTACTCTTTGTATATCGTAGTGTCTTTTTTTTTTTTTGCTTATCTTTGACACAGAATTTGAAGTTGGTATCATGTGAAAGTAATCTTTCCAGATAACTATTTATTAGATAAACAGAGATTTAAAGTTTGTAATGTGGTATATTGATATACAAAATATATGTGCAATATATTCTCTGACTACTTTACTTTAATAACTGAAATGTTTAGTGTGGTTGTGTTTTTTTATTTTTATTTTTTTTATTTAAGGTAAATGTGGCTAAAAGTTATGTTGTGCAATTATCAAAGTACCAGAAAGGAAGTACTGGAGTAATTTATTTGAGGCAAAGGGAATAAGAACATCTAGGAGGTTGTCTAGTAATGGCTGTGGCGGGAGGGGGGGGAGGTAAACATGAGCTTCTGTGATAGAAACAATCTTTGTGGAGGTTTAACATTAGGATCAAGGGGTTCTGACCCCCTAACCATTCAGAAACAATAATTGATCGTTCTTTTTATTGATCCACTATGGAGGAAAAGTTGTGAGAGGATCATGAAAAGCTCAGAAATAATAAAATTTCATCATAAAAGAGTTAGATGTCACAGGTATTGTTTTTGTGTTCCAGATGTTGCACCTCAAATAAACTGTTCTCCCATTTCACTGCAAACAACTAGAACTCGGCTTTTGCTGTGGTAACAGTTAACATATTTGAACACAGTATCATCTAAATTATAGCCAGTTTTTTGTTTTGTTTTAAACTTTAACTCTCCACGGTATTTTGAAATAGTCTATTCTTTAACCTATTAATGAAAAGAGTAGTGAAATCTGTCACTAAGGGTACATTTACACAGGAAAAAAAAATGGGACAATGACTCTCAGAGCCTGTGTCAACTGACTCAGGCTCACGCTAAGGGGCTAAAAACAGTCTTGTAGGTGTTTGGGTTGGGCTGGAGCTTGGGCTACAAGACTCACCCTTCTCACCAGGTGTCAGACCCCAAATGTCTGCAATTTTATAGCGCCACAGCCCAAGCTCTGCGAACTTGAGTCAGCTGACACTAGCCAGCCATGAGTGCTTCATTGCAGTATATACATACCCTAAGAGTTCATTGGTCTGTTTTTTTATGTTACTGCAGTGCTGTTTGTGGGCTCCTGCTCTTTCTTAGCCTTCCATGCAGCCTCAGGTTTTTATTTGACATAACTCAAGGTTCTTAACGCAAATGATGCAACAGATTTTTCCATCACATCTGGATATCCACTAAAATCACAAAATGTTGAGAGCATAAAAAAAGAAAAATTCCCAGAATCCATGATTTCCAAAATGTACATGACAAAATTTCATAATAATCATAAAGCAAGCATTGTGTGAACCTAAAGGAGAGGCTAATGAAGCAGCAGAGGCAAGGGAAGGCCAATTTGCATTTTTTTTTCAAAAAGAAGAACAGATCTTAAAATAAGGATTATTTTCAGTAAACCATGTTTTTTCCACATGGAGATTTGGCATAATATCTTCTGACTTTTACCATCCAGCATCTGGAAGTCAGTTTCCATTTTTCTTAACATTGCTTCAGAATGTTTAGAATTTTCTTTCCATGGCCATACTGAATTTCAGTTTAAGGATGAGTTGACTCTTTTGTGTTTGTAGATCTAAAATTAACAGCAAACATATGAACTTTTCATAGTCACAGAAAAAGACCTGAGTTCAAGATTCTGTGTTCCCTGTGTTAAAGCTTATGTTATAAATTTACATGGGTTGTTGACTTTTAACAAAAACAAAACAAAAAAATGCGTGAAATCTTGAAGTACTCATGGTGGTGCCAGTTCTGCACTGTGTTTGGCTGGACAGACACTCACACCCACTTAGGCAAAAATACTGTTGAAATGGATGGGAAATTTTCTTCAATACAGACTGGAGACTTCAGAATTTGACGAACATTATTATTTATTCAATGGCAACTTAATTAATTCAGAGTTAAGATTGCTTGGTTGTATGTCATTCCCTCGTGGAACGTAGAGCAAAACTCAAACTTTTGAAAACCGCCAAATGCACAGTTAGGGTTCGCTATGAACTTAACTCCCCTCTTTCAGCAGTTCTCTAATACAGCTTTTAACATACTCTGCCAACCCCTATGGTTTGCTGAAATGTGCAACCCATTCACTCAGGATACCACCTAACACTAATAAAGAACAACAACAAAAAAAGGGTTGTGCACACCACCTTCCCTCTAAATAACATCATTATTAACACTGAAGCAATTATGTTTTGAAATGACAAAAGTGTTTAATAAAAATATTTCTGCCTCTGATGCTGAAAACACTTATGCACGTGCAAACATTTGTGCACATACTGTAAGTACATGAGTAATCCCACTGAGGTCAATAGGACAATGCTTGTGAATATATTTATGTGCTTGCTTAAGTGATCAGAGCCATAATTTATTTCTTTATGTCTGCCTGCCTGCCTGCCTACGACCTACCTACCTTCCTTCCTATAGCTGTTCTGTGAAATTTAAATAATATAAAACCCTAAAAGTAGTAGGGATGTAAAAGGTTAAACAGTTAACCAGTTAGCCGGTAAGCATTAGGCTTGCATCTGAAGAAGTGGTTTTTTACCCTCAAAAGCTTATGACCAAATAAATCTGTTAGTCTTTAAGGTGCCTTGTTGTTTTTGTGGATACAGACTAACACGGCTACCCCCTGATATTATTGTTAACCGGACCGTAACTGTTTACCCAGGCAGCTGCCCGGCCACACCGGGCTGGCCGGCTGCAGCAGCCCTAGCCGTGTCAGGCCAGCACGCCAAAGGGACTCCAGCCTTGCCCGGGCCAGCAGGACCCCAGTCCTAGCCGTGGCGGGTGGGCTGGAGCGATCCCAGC